ATACGCAAACACGATGCCAGCAATGTGTCGCTTGTGTTTGACAACCGCGGCTCGGAGAGCTTCCAGGGTCATGGCTACCACCACCCACACTCGTACCGGGAAGCACCGAAGGGCGTGGAGCAGTTCCCCGCTGTGGTGTCACTGCCTTCGGGAGAGCGTCCGCTCACGCACTGGCCCAACGTCATCATGATGATGGGAGACCGCGCTACTGAACTCAACACTCTGGACAAAGTGGTGCACTTCTATGATGACAAGGTCCAGAGCACATACTACCTGACGCGGCCGGAGCCGCACTTCACGCTTGTCGTCATCTTTGACGGAAGGAAGTCTGAGAAGGACCTGCACCTCACCGGCTTCTTGCAGGAGATTTCGGGCTCGCTTCGGAACTCCAAGCCTTTCAGCACCCTCAAACCCGGGTCGAAGGGCTGAACTGCACATCGACAAGACGCTAAATTTTTACATGGTCCTGCGTTTTCTGTGGTCCAGCTGGTGCTTTTTGCTGCTTTGATTCTCAGTTTGCCAAAAATGTTCCAGACCAAAGAGATTCGAGGTGCTCTGAATTTATTTGACCTGACCGTGACAGGATGACCACCACAGCACTGCTCGTGCTCAGAGCCTTTTAATTATTTGGCATCATGCGGTTTTAACAGGTTTATGTTTTAATTCGTTATACATTACATTTGTTGTGCTTAATACAGTTTAAATAAAGATTTGAAATGTAAATTTACTTTTTACATATTTTTTTTGTATTAGTTATTTGTTTATTTTTAATATCCTGATTTGTTTTAAACTCTGCTTTGCTGCAGCTGCTTTGGCTCCTCCCCCTGTTTGAACCAACTTTGTTCTGATTGGTTGCCTCTCACAGGACGGGACTGCAGTGCTCAGCTATGTGCTGACATCACTACAATAAGGATATGTGACATCATTTCAAGACCAGACAGTTTAACCTGTGAAGCTTTTGGCTCACTGCACATAAAGTGATCTCATTATGTGAAACTTTGGCTATGTTTAACAGGAATATCCATCACTGGAACAGAAAGCTAAATATTTTAAAGGACAATAAAATAAATTTTTTGTGAGTATCGTCTGAGATTAAAAATTAAAGAGTGTTCATTTGCTAATGCACATACACCCACTGGCCCTTTTATTAGCCCAGTGCATTTAAGCATTCAAACACAGTCAAAATGATCCTCCTGAAGTTCAAGCTAAACATCAGAATAGGGGAGAAATGTGATTTAATGGACTTTGAACATAGCCTAAAACTGCCCATCTGCTCTCCTGCACAACCGTCTTTAAAATTTACAAAGAAAGATCTGAAAAGAGAAAATGTCCAGTGAGCGGCAGTTTCTGGCCAAAAATGTCTTGGTGATGTCAGAGGAAAATGGAAGGCAACAGTATCTGAAATAACCACTCACTGCAACCAAAGTATGCAGAAGAGATTCTCTGAAAGCAAAACCGGTTGAACCTTGCAGCTAAAGGGGAAACCGGGTACCACTCCCGTCAACTAAGAAGAGGAAACTGAGGCCACAGACTCTCCAAAAACTCAATTTCTGCTGCAACTTTCAGATGGTGGGCGCACAATTTGGTGTTAACGATATTTGGAGAAACAGTGGAAAAAGAACTATGAAAGGGTTAAATGGCAGCAATTTACTGAACACATCAGGAAGTTTATTGAGTGGGAGAAAACAGCAAAGGAAAGGATCAAATCGATGAGAGGCTTGAATGCTAGTTTAGGTTTATTTATAATATAAATACAACACATTGATACAATCCATTTGGCTATATGAGCTCATCATTAGGAAGCTCAGTTTTCAAATACAGCAACACTAACAGACAAAAACCATTTCCTTTATTATCAAACACATTCAAAGAAACCTCCCTTTGAGTTAAAATGCACCAACATGTTATGATGCTACATGCCAAGTACACAATCCTATACATCAAAGTGCAATGTTCACAATGGGTTAATGCTAGAATTCATAATTCAGAAATCTACTAAACACTTTATGATTATTTCATTCGGAGTGCTGCTGCTCTTCGCTCAGGACATGCGTGAGTGGATTCACAACTTCCAAAAAAGGATTTTAAAAAAAGGCACTTTCACATACACACACACAGACACACACACACACACACATAGATGTGCATCCACAGCCTATCTCAGCACGTCATGTTTCATTTTAATCACCACACTCACAGCCCAGTTGGAGGCCACATTCAGTGTGCTGTTCAAGTGTTTTTGGGCGTTTACACACAAAGCCCCACCCTGTTAGCTTATTGTGAGTTTAAGGTTAACTAGTGACTTCAGTGTAACGAGCAGGTAAACCAGTATTCTGACAAACACACAGATAGTGGCATGCTTTTTGCACTCGTTTTCCCCAACTTCCACTCGCGTGTTCTGGCACTCCTGGCAGGCATGAATTATCTATTATCTAATGCTATTCTAGTACTTCTGCACTTACAAGGGAGCAGAACAAGGGCAGGCAAGCAGAACACACATACACACACACACACACACACTTTACAAGGAGTATCAGGGTCACACCGAGGAAAAAAAATATTACAAGAAATTCCTTTTTAATTTTGCAGAACAAAGTCAAAACTTGAGGAATGAAGCTGTAACATCAGAACAGAGTTGAAATAATTTAAGGATCAAAAACTACTTGTGTAGGAAAAATCTAGTCAGTTTTGCTAAATGCTGGAAATTATCAAAACTGTGCGGTTAGAAGTTAAGGATTACGGGGACAGGGTTGGTCTTGATTCTAATTTCAAAATCCCATTTTAAAACTAAAAACTAAAAATACTGTCAAGAATAAACTCAACATTTTGCGAACAAACCTAAAGCACTATTTCTGGAACAAAATTGAAACGGAAGCTACTTTCAGCTGTTCCTTTAATCGCCACAGTGAGTAGCTCTGCACGTTTGATATGGCACAAATCTGAAACATTATTTTGAGAATAAATTCAAAATAAAATATCCTTACTAAAGTTGAGATGTTATGCTGAGAAAGTCAAGATTTTGAAAAAGTCAAGATTTAAGAGTAAACCTGAAAAACTAAAGCTGAAAAAGCTGTTTTGAGGACAAGTCAGAAATATCAGTATAAAGTCAATATTCTGAGAATTACATTTTGAGAACAAACTCAAAATAAAGCGTCCATATTAAAGCTGAAACACTATTCTGAGAATAGATTTTTATAGAAGTCAAAATGTAAGCGTACTATTTCCAAAATACATTTGAAATACTGTTCTGAGAAGGAATTTGAGATTTTGAAAATAGTCAAAATCTTCCAGAATAAAGTTATTGTTCTGAGAATAATGTTGAAATTCTGAGAATAAACACAATTTCCAGAACTAAGATTTGAGAAGAAATTTTAATGGAAAATAAAGAGTTGCAACACTGTTCTCAGAATAACGTTAAAATTTCAAGCCAGAAATGTTGAGAATAAACTAGAAATGGTTATTCTAGAAGAAAGTTGAAATGCTATTCTGAGAATAAATTTTCAGACAAAATGTGAGAGTCAAATTTGGGACTAAAATAAATTAGTGCTGTGAGCGTTAATCTTGTTAAAATGACGTTAACACCATAACTATGGGCTCAAATTGTGGTCATAAATATTTTGTACTTGTAAATCAAATGCGTATTTGTGAACTGAGTTTTGTAACCTTGTAAACCAAAATATGTGAAGATTTTATGTCTGTGCAAATACAGATGAGAATTTATGTGTGTGTAAAAAGGATTTGTGTTTGTAAAATATTTACGCAAGTTACACATTTTTTTGTTAAGGTCTGGTTACAGATACAAAGCAAAAAACTACATGTAAAACTCTGCGTTCAGGTTCCCTGGCTGCGTGTGGCTTTCAACTTACCAGTACGAATTTTGACCCGATTTTTCTTCCTTTCAGCTGATTGGTCAATGTCATGTCAATCACAAATTTAACAACCCAGTCAGAGAACAGATGGATTTGGCTGTTGGAGGGGTGCTTTACGGAGCTTCAGGTCCTGGAAGATTAAATGTTCTTTTACATGCCAGCCCAGCGTTTTCCTTCATCTCCATGAAGGAAAAACAGTCTGTGCGTGTCAGAGTTCGGTGATTTTTGTCTCACAGGTTTGCGTGCTTATACAGACATCCAGAACCCTTTCAGCAGCGCTCCAGGGGAAAGCAGTGTTGTGGAAATGACACAGTCTTCACTAGTGGGGATAGTCTTCTTCATTATGAATTAGCGATACATGTTCTTATTGAAGATTTGAAGATAAAACAACACAAACTCTTGTAGAGGACATAAAGTCAGAGATAGAAACGACAAGGAGCAGGAGCATCTAGTTCACGTAGAGCTGCCGCAAAAACCTAGAGAGCTCAGTAGCCAGCGCAACAAATTCTGGATCCTTGGGTCTTAGTTAGCATTAGCAGCACATGCTGCGTCGGCTGTGAAAGGGCCTTTATGCTGCGCACTGTAACTCACAGCAATGGTCCCGGATTAGCCCTGATTTTTGTGAAACTAATTATAAAGTAATAATGGTATTTATAACCATTGATATACCAAAACTTTATCCTTTCAACAGCTACCGAAAGTTATGGGACCTAGCTTGTATGAGCCTTATGGGATATTTATATAGAGATCCTCCAGGCTCCAGCTTCAAACTGTATTACCCTTCCAGGACCTGAAACTCAGTAAAGCACCTCTCCAACAGCCAAACCCATCTGTTCTCTGATTGGATTGCTAATGTGTGATTGACATGACACTGACCAATCAGCTGAAAGGAAGAAAAATTGGGTCAAAATTTGTATGTGTAAGTTGAAAGTCACATACAGTCAGGGAACCTGAGCGCAGAGTTTTACACCTAGCTTTTTGCTTTGTATCTGTAGCCAGACCTTAACAAAAAAAATTGTAACTCGTGTAAATATTTTTTACAAACAAATATTTTTTACAAACACACAAATTCTCATCTGTAGATGCACAAACATAAAATCTTCAAATATTTTGGTTTACAAGGTTACAAAACTCAGTTCACAAATAAGCATTTGATTTACAAGTACAAAATATTTATGGCCATAATTTGAGCCCATACATATTCACATTAACGCTACAAATCTCCGTTAGCGAGTTACCGCGGATCGCCCCACACGTTGATGCATGAGCTAAACGCCATGCAATCCCTCGCATGGAGCGATCCGTGTTAACTCGCTAATGGAGATTTGCCGTGTTAATGCGGTTATGGCGTTAACATCTTTTTAACGAGATTAACGCTGACAGCACGAAATTAATGTTTCAAGAATACATTTGAAATACTCTTTTGAGCATACAGTTAACATTTTCAGGACAAAGCTTAAATTTCAAGTTCGAAATTTAATGTAATTCAGTTCAGCTTTATATTGTAAGGGAAGGACCCCACAATAATCAAATAAACTGAGAATAAACTGGTAATACTAATTTTCAGAGTAAAGTAGAAATATCGAGAATAAAATGTTGAGAATAAACTCAAACGTTTTCCATAATGAATGGGAAATACTGTTTAGAATAAACAGAAGCTCCTTAGACTATGATGACCTGACTAAGAACCTTAAAGTTGAGTATCAGAATAAAACTGTCGGTCTACAGAACACCTCACGTAGATTACGTCACACTTACGAAGCATTTTCAGTCACTCTGAAGTTTTTTCTCTTATAGCTCACAAACACTTAATCACCTTTCAACTCTATTCGCAAAATTTAAAAAATAAATATAATTTTTTTTCTTAACTTGGCACTGATGCTCCTTGATACACACTTACAACCACTCACAAACACACAGCAACAAAATCGTACACCCACCCCACCCCCTACCCGTCCCAGAAAAAGCTCTAACCAAACTCCACCACTCACTCCACCACCCTGTTTGAATGAAGCTCCGGTCTGGGCATGAAGTTCCCCCGTCTGAAAACACAAGAAGGCTGTTAAAAAGTTTAGCAAGCCGCCGCCGCGGCTCGCCGAACATTCAATAGATGGCTGAACAGTCGTTAAAATACAGGAAACATTCATTAAGTAGCTGGACGTTGGTTAAATAACAAGTTTTCTTTCACTGACGACCTCAGGAGGCGTTTTCGTGGTTTTGAGGTGCAAGTGAGCTTAGCAGCTGAACCGAGTGAAAAAATTAAAAAAATAAATTATAAAGTCCCGCAGACGTTGTTGAACCATCGTTTGCCGCGTCCTCTTCCCAATCGAGTCGCTCGTCCTGGATACAGCAGCCAATCGTGTTCGTTTCTTTTTTTTTCTTTTTTTTCTGGCAACAGTCACATCACTTAAACTACAGTTTTACTGGAGCTGAACTACACTCCCCAACTCCCCCCACACCCCCCACGCGTCTCTCTCTCTCTCTCTCTCTCTCTCTCTCTGATTACGATCTCACACAGGAAGCCCCGCCCACGCTCGTACTTGCATCTCCGCATCAGCAGTTCTTTTAGCTAACCTTTGATAAATGCTTCGATACATGGAGAAAGTAAACCCCTACACACCAAGAGAGTACACACCAACCTGACAACACATAAATATCATGGCATATCATATCATAAGTCATGTCATATATTATATTTTATTACTACATTAAAAGCCTTTTTCGTCTTTCCTACCATTTCTACCCTCATGTTGATTATAAACATTAAGCAGTACCCTGATCTCCTCTTCTGGCCCATTTTTGGCCCGGGTAGGCCTGATTCGGCCTCTTATTGGCCTGGTTTGGCTCACATGGTGCAGGATTTGTCCAGTGGCGGGGGTAGAGGCGGGGTGCTGCTCTTAGGTGGAACCATAGGTTTGGGTCTCAGGGCAGGTGGTCGCAGCGGAGCCCCGATGCGAGCGGCTGCCACCGGCTTGAAGGAACCCAGAGCGTCAGGGGATGGGTTGGCAGGTCTGGGGGGTCCAGATGGAGGTCCAGGGAGTGGACTGATGGGGCTCAGAGGACTCAGGGGGCTTGGGGTGCCTGGGGTATCGGGCGTCCCAGGAGTTCCGGGGGTGCCGGGGGTTCCCGGTGTGCCTGGTGTGCTTGGGGTGCTGTGCGGGCTGGGAGACTCGGAGGAGCAGGTGGTGATGGGGCCGTTCTTTACCTGCTCCAGGGTGTCCAGGACCACGTCGGGGGCCGGCCGGCAGCCCTGTCGCTCCAACTGCCTCAGCTCCCCCAAAGCCACACTCACGGTCTCCTCGATGTCCTGCAGGCGGAGAGGATGATTGAAGAATAAGTTAACAGTTTTAAATGAATCCATTCACACATCAAGTTAGATTTTGGTTCCTTGGATGATTCTTCAAAAATTAATACATGTATATTTTAGGGGACCTATTACGTTCTTTTCCAGCTCCATCTATTATTCCTACAAAGTAGCCTTTCCATATTCAGAGCTTAAAATAATCCTTACTTATCTTATCCTCTCTTGGGCTTGTAAAAGTAATTTAATTTTGACAAATCAGTTAATTCTAATTTAACTTATGATTATTAAAACGAGAAAAATCAAGATGCAGCTGTTATTGTGCTGCAGTAATGTTCTTGTTTCCTTTATCTGCCACAAAACGTATTCTTTCAATTTAGCACAGTTCATTTAAATCAACTTAATTAAAAAGACAATTTATTTGAAAGTTTAATAAATCCACATTTTTCCAGAGTGTGAGTAATCATGGTAAAAGTAATTATCTCAGTATTGGCCAGAGAAAATGACTTTTTTCTCTGAAACAAACCATTTTACCTCCTCTCCTTTAAATGTGCTTTTTTCACTATTGGCTGCCCCTCACAAACAGAGCCGAGAGTAGACAAAACTTTCTGAATGAGAGTGTTGTATTAAAAGCCAAACACACACTCACAATTTGGAAGGTAGAGCCTTAAGTCGAACTGTATCTTTCTGTAGTAAATCATGAAAACCTCTGACTGAATCTTGAGACAAATAACGTAACAGATAAGATTTTACTTTTTTAAAAATAACACAAATATATTATTTCTGCATGATTTATCACTTTCTGGAACCTGTCGGTGTTCTGACAACATGGAAGCATTTCAACCTCAAAGAAGACCCCCATTCACTTTCGCCTCCAGATTAAAACAGTCCCTAATGATGTCATACAGAGCAGGAGTAGAAAAAAACCTGCCTGAACCAGAGTGTTTCGTTCACAAGGATTGCCTCGCATACGAGGACCTCATGATTTGAATTTTGTCTAAATATTAGAGAAATTAAGAAACAGCAAACTTTTTGAAAGAGTAAAAAAATCCAAGCAAAATTTCTAGAAAACTAAAACCACATATTTAGAGCTACTAAAGAATTTATAGCGTGTCACCAGAAGGACCAGTTTGAAGCAATTCGATATAAAATCCCTTAAAGCTTTTTTATTTTTTTGCTGTCCAGAACTGGGTTGTATTTTCTCCCACTGGCGACACTGTGAGAAGCATGGAGCTCACTCAAGAGGCGTTGTGGTACTACTGTGATTAAAATGGATGTGTCATTGTTGCTGTTCAGATTTGGCAGAGTCGTAGCTGAGAATTTTTAGAGTCTGATAGCATCAGTGTCACTTGCTCACTGATATATAAAGGTGTTACTCAGCCGTGGATTTAGGATTTCAATCAGAGATAGGTAGGTGAATTTCTGCTGTCTGTTTTCAGAACCCCCTCCAGTCTGGTGACACCTGCATGCAATGAAAACAAAGATTTTTTTCAATATTCATCTCACGTTACATGTTTTCTAGGCGTACCTGTGCCAGCGCGTCGGGGTCGAGAGCTCGGGATCGATGGGAGTCTCCAAAGCCATGCTGCCCGCTGTTGGAGCGTCGTATAGGTGTGTCCTCCGGCCTCCGCAGAGAATCGTGTCGGCTCACTGTCATGGTCACCGCTGCAGAGCGGCGGCGTCGCTCCGGGCTGTCTAGGGGTGGGGTCAAGCCCTGGCCCCTCCCTAGCAGCAGCTCCCTGGGGCTGAAGTGACCCGTCACCGGAGGAGAACTGCGCTCCATCACGCCTCCGTTCCCGTGGTTGTCGTTAGAGCGGCAGAGAGGGCGGCGGAATAAACCATCAGTTCGCTTCCTCCTGTGGCTGTCAACAGGAAGTGTAAACAGCATTAGCTCAGGTAGAATGAAACAAATCATATTCAGCAGCTACTGAACTACCCTATCTTCCCTTTGGAGAACCCACAAGCTCGTCTCTGCTTGTACCAAAGCTTCTCTCATGTTTTTTTTAAACTCAAATAATTAAACAGCTTTGTGGATTTTATAAATCCAGCTCCTTATATGTAATACTTAAGTGACGCTTCAAGTTTTCGAGTTTTACAAAAGTCCAGTTTGTATAAATCTTTACGTAACTGTGAATGAACAAGGAAATCATGGAAATGCTCCCATTTTTATTATAAACATTGGCAGCCGACAGGTGATGGCGTTAGGTGTGGGGGGTTCCAACATAAAAAACACAAAATTTTATGCAAAGTGTTAGAAAGCTTTAGGTCTAAGAAGCATGTCCACATAATCACACTGGTACTGAATGCTTTTTAAGCCTCTTGCACAGATTAGCTTAGCCACACTTGGGCCACCTTCCTTGACGTGTTGTGAGGAATGACTACGAATAAACTAAAAGGTGTCTGGAGTCTGCAGATGGGGAAACTGGTCACATGAGAACAGCTGTGACACCAGCGTGATGAGATCCGCAGGTATTTTTAGAGGTGAGAGAACAGGGTGGGCTTAAAACACGCCGCAGAAAATCCTCACAATAATGAAAGGTGTCTTACATGACAGACCTGTTGTAGGTCTCTGGAGGTCTCATGTCAGTTGGGGAGCTCAGCTCGCTCCTAGACCGCTTATCGTCAGTGCTGCTGCTTCCTCCGTCGCTGTCGGCTTTCTGACTGAGTGTGTCTGACATGGCGTCAGCCCTGAAGACACAGACTCTCAATCAGGACAAATCACTCTGGAAACTGGAGAGCTGAACTAGCACAGCACACCAATCATCAATTAACTGATCAATAGCATGTGGTTAGTGACTGCCTTGGCCCAATCAGTCTGTTAATCAACAAGGTGTACAATCCAGTGAGCAGCAATCCACCCAAATCCATCACTGCAGCTCTTCAATGCGGCCATCGAGCCACTTATGCTAACAAGAACTTCTACAAAGAAAGATTTCAACTCAAAACTACGACTAAACTAAACCATTTACACACACAATGCATCCCTTTTGTTCTTGTTCTTGTATTGGAAAACTGAAGATAAAAACTAGGTAAATACGAATATTAAAAATGTAAATAAGACACTAAACATCTGTCTATGTATATCTATACACATATGTCCATATAAATTGATATCTATGGAAAACAGAAATACTTACATTAAAATAAAGCTTGAACCAAATTGAAATATTTTGAAAAATATTTTTAAAAATGCTTGAGTAAAATTAAACTTTGCAAATAGTTTATGCTGTGATAACATTACACTGTAATTTTATAAAATGTGAAACGGAAGTGAAGGCTAAATTATGTCTAGGAAATATGTAGGAGATAAAAATAATTATACTATTTTTTGTAATTTTTTCCAATCATCTCATGTGGTATAATATACATGTTACATTGTGACGATGCGGCACAAAGAAATGCAAATGAATTTAAAATGCTCTTGTTCACGTACACGCTGTATATAAACCCCCAAATTCTCAATGTAATGTTTTTATATCAGAATATTATAAATTATTACGCAAATAAAAAAATGAAACAAAAATGAATCAAGTGTTAAAAAATTAAATGCCCTTTCCCTTTCTTCCTCATTCTGATCCTGTCTACATGCCTAATCTCTACATGCTAAATGCACTGAGCTGCTGTTGTGTGATTGGCTGATTAGACATCTGCATTAACAAACTGTGGAACAGTTGCGTGTGTTATTTATAAAAACAATTCTGGTCATGTAGCCACAAGATGTAGCCACACAAAAAAGCCCTGAATGCATTGGCATTATTATCCTGTAATTTAGCAAAATCATTAAAAAGTAGATAAACAGTACAAACATATGCAATTCTGAATAATGGCATGAACTCAATAAAAGACAACAGTTTTTGTAATTTATAAACAATATTTAGCAGTTTTATGAGGACGCAAACCAAAAAGAAGCATCATTTCAGAAGCCTGCAATCAGGAAAAAAATCAAATACATTTGTTTAAGTGAAAAAACACAAACTGAAAATCATTGTTTTCTAAACATTTTAACACATTTAATGATGAACTTTGATTATTTTATGGATTTGAGTATTTTCAGACTGTGCTGCAGCTATTTTAACTTTGTGTTTTTGATGTGTACAAACCATCTCGGGCTGTGCACTCGCCTGTCCTTCACCACGATGTACTGATGAGGCACCAGGCCGTGGTTGCCGTTGTGCCGGCCCTCCCACCAGTCATGTGATGCGCGCTGAAAGAGCTGTAGGGAGGCTCCCTTCTTGAAGGAGAGCTCGCGGCCCGACCGGCCCACGTAGTCGAACCTCGCCACCGCCTCCACAGCTTCACCCTCTGCCAAAGAGACAGAGAGAGAAAAGAGGAGGAGGAGGAGGAGGAGGTGAAGATAAGAGCCAGACATCGAACTGGAGGTGAACCTGAACTTGTCAATCAACGGTCCCTTAGGCTTTGTTCCGCCCACCGCTCCACCAATCAGAAAAGAGCTTTAAAAAGAGTCTTTTCTATTAATTCAGATGGAGAGATGGGGAGGAGGGAGGGGAGGCTGGGTGGGGCGTGGATGAAAGGAGGGAAGGAGAGTGGTGGTGGTGGTAGTGTCTCCATGGCTGCTGTTGCCGTAGCAACCACTCTCCAGCACCACCACAACCACCACCACGAGGGAGTACGAGTATGGGAGTGTGGGCGATTGTGTGAAGGTCAGGGGTCATGCGTACCCTCGTCACTGGTCTGGGTCTCGGTGCCGGCGTCGGGCTCGGCTTCCTCCAACGCTCCCGGCTCGCTGAACGGACTCTCGCTGTGGGAAGAAGAAGCAGCAGATTGACACACACCCGTCCATTCAGTGTGGGAACAAAGGGAGAAACACGCACAGCAGGAGGCGAGCCCGCTCATTGGAGTCTGAGGACGTTTACGGCTACAGTAGAATGTCAAGATTCAGAAGATGGTGGGAAAAGAGAAGCTGTAGGAGGTTTCCCACAGCAGAAGGATTACTGTCTGCTCCAACACCTCGTGTTCCAGACAGGCTGCCAGGTGTCTGCTCAAACTAACAGCTCAATTTATTCAAAGGCCCCACCCTGCAGTTAACCTTTATACACATTAAACACCATTAAAAGAATGCAGAATTTCCTATAAGAACTTCCTCTTTGCAGTACACGTAGTGATAAACATAGATCTACTGCTGAGTTACTGTGACAGTAAAGGAAACCTAAAAATGTTCTGGTTCAGGTTCTGCAGGGTGTTTCTTTCTTTGGCCTTTTAAGAAACTCTGAGGTATTTTCCTCTGTTTAAAATAGCTTAAAGCCTGTATTGTATTGTGCATAAGAGTTATCAACGCAAGCTGAACCACAGCCAGACTGTACTTTGGTGTCATTTTTACTTCCAGCAGCAGTGGGACATAAGGTAAAGCCTGTGGAAATGAAGGAAAGCTAAAAATAAATATTAGAAATTAAACAACTGCACACATCTGGAGACATCTCTACACACCCAGTGGAAAAAAAAACATCTGCCCCCTTGTGGTGAAAGCTTTAGTTAAATCCTGCAGAGGTTCATTACAGAAGGTACCTTTAAGCAGATTTGTGGTGTTTATTCTTGATGAACATCAGAATTATTGATGTCCCCATGATGTGCAGGTCATACTGCATATATCAATGTGATCAATGTGTGATTTATTTCTGCATTTTTGAATTAAAGGTGAAATACCAGGGAACACGTGCTTGAAGCTGTCAAAGTAAGAATTTACCAAAATATCAGAAATGAAACAGTTAATCTGGAAACATTAAAATATAAAAACAAAATTCAAGGCTGGCGAAGAAATGGGCATATAGATGTCTTAAATCCTGGACTCTTATTAGCTGTTGTGCTAATGAGTCACAGAACACGTCAGTGAAAACTCAAAAGCTTATGTTGCAAGTTTTTGTTTTCCTAAACCAAATATAAAGTTGTCCAGTCAAATCTTTAGTAGGTTTTTGTTTAAGTGTAACCCTTGGAATTATAAAAATGGCATCAAAGTTTGATATTTAACACCAAATGGTGGACTTCCTGTTTGGTTTAGGGTATATTTCCCAGAGGCTTTTACTGCATCTGCATCTGCACATGTGTGTAACAATTTCAAACAAATTTCTTTCTATGTTCAGGACATCAAGTAATTTACTTTTGTTATTAATAACATAAATGAATTTAATTTCCAACAGAGCGTAATAAAGGATAACGTCCTGATGCTCACCAGTACTGGTCTCCAGTCATACACTTCTCATACACTGGGCCGGGCAGCTCCTTGGTGTCCGGGAAGATGTTGTCATGGTGCAGGATGACCGTTTTGATGACCTCATTTACGTGCGCCTGGCAGGCCACCTGGTCCAGGGTCTCCGGTGTCGGCAGTAGGGTGGGGCCGAACACAATGGCCAGGTTTCCAGCATCCATCATGTTCTCATCGTTGTACTGGGAAAGGCTGCAGAAACGTGGGCAATGTGGCCAAACTTTACTTGTTTACAATTAAACTGTTAATTACCAAAACTGAGAGAAACACTGAATTCAGAAATTTAAAAAGTATGACTTCTTTTAATGTTTCACTGTACATATGTGTCTAAATATTAGAGATATGGTTTTGAGGAGCAGTGAGGAAAAAGAAAAGTGAGCGAAGTGAGAAAAGACTGTAAACAATTTTCCTCATCTGTCTTAAACTGACATTATTTTAATAGAGTCTAGTTTGAGAAGTAAAGGGAACTATAATTTTCCCTGAAATAAAATATCAAATCTTGCTTAAATAATAACTGTATGAAAATGAGACTGTTACTAAAATAATTGCCAATTAAACTTCTGTCGATTAAGTGATTGATCACCATTTTGCTCTAATTGAGACCTACAGTGGCACAACAGTAGGTTTCTCACATAACCATGGTTCTCTGATACTTAATAGCAACATAAAATCTTTTTTTTTTCTGACTTTTTAATCAATAAAAGTTTTCTTCTTTTTGTCTGAATAACAGTTCACACCTTAAAATACTGAATATACCTTCAGATAAGACAAAGAAAAACCGCAAATGTTTTTGTTTGGTATTGCATTTTAAGCATTTTTGATGCGTAACTATGACTCACCAGATTAATTATGCAAAAGTCTGTAGTTTTACACTTCTGTGTTGTTTGCTGGTTTCAAAAGGTGACAAAGCAATTTTTAGGTTTTGATTCATGCACAAGACTGTAATGGAGAACACAATCTCTATGCTTTTTATTTATTTTTTAAATGGAGTCTGGTTTGAGAAGACAGCATAAGAGTTAAGAAGTTAGTAGATTGCTTACATAAAAGATTAAATAATAATTAAATAATTAAAGATTAGTTATTGATGTAACCACAGTTCTATGAAGTTTTATGAAAAATAATAAAATGATAAATTAAAATGAAACATGAATGTTTCTGAACTTCGAAGCAGCAGCCCCGAAACCTCAGAAATATGTAATTTATGATCAAATGCTTTATTTTTATTATTATTACTTGCTATGTTCTTTGCATTAATTTATAAAGTTTTGTAATTTTTTAAGCTTTGAAAACCTATAAAATAAATACGTCCAATGAATTTTTATAATTATTTTTAATTAAAAAAGGAAAAAAAGCCTGTATTTTCTGAATTATTTTATTAAAGAATATTCTAATATCAAAAGGTGTTTTTTAACATTCTCTCTTCTGCTGTGAAACCATGCAGCAAATTTCCTGCAAACTACGATGCCACAGCTCTTTATGTGATGCTCTGCTTTGTCTTATTATTTTAAAAAAGCTTGCCTTAATACAATACAAATACACTTCTAAAGCTAAAAGGCTGTATTCAATAAACTCTGGCATTTTTCCATTATTGCAGCTTTCATTTCAAATAGTGATTGAAATATCTTCTCTGCGCTCGACCGTGAAGCTCCTGGTTTAATAACACTGAAGCTGAATGCATTTCAGAGCCCTGCTAATAAACACACCAGTACATCACTCGCCTGGTACATCGCACCAGCTCATCACACTTCCTGTTCACACCTCCTGCCTCTCCATGCTGCTCTCTCATTCTATATTTATTTGAGAGGCTGCAGAAACAAAATGAGCTGTGTTTTATCATCTATACAAGTGTGCACTTCGAACCCTTTTCACTACAGGAGAGGCATCTCCCCATTTTTGTGTTTTCCCAGCTGGGAAAACACAAAAATGGGCAATTATCATAAATGTGAGGGCCCGGTTTTGTATAAGTGGATACTCACTGGTTGAGGAAGGCGAACAGGTAGCGCATCACCACCAGCGTCGCCCTTGGGACACCCAGCAGGATCTTACGGATACACTGCGCTCTCTCGTACAGGTTTTCTATCCCTGCAGCAGGAAAATGCACATAATCTAAAGTTATTATGAGTCCCTGAGACATCACGAGGTGTCTGTAACACGATGACATTCCTGAAACACGCCAGTCGGCGCTGCAGAAAGGGAAGCAGGCGGCTCCATGTCTCTGCTGTGGTGGGGATGGGTTTCAAAGAGACAAAGAGACACTAACGAGAAACAAAGACGAGGAAACCGAGAGGGAAAGTGACTGCGTGTGGGCTGAATAGATAGACAGAGATTCACACTGAGCTTCACCGCAGCAGATGGAAGCTGCACAAACGGTTCAGACTCAAGTGTTAAAGCAAATGAAAGTCGAGCTTCACAGACAATCACTTGATTTGAACATTTCACTGGGATACAAATAACCAACTATTGGATCTTTTCACATTTCACTGCATCTACACCACCCAAGTTAGTTGGAGCTCTGTATAACTTCATCCACTATGTAGCTTGTATAGGTTATACTTGTTCGCCATGTGCAACAAGTATATGCACTAGTTGCTAGCATCTAGCAACTAGTGCATGTCATCTAGTGTCATCTAGTGTTATGAAGGTTGATGATTCCATCCCAAGCTCCTTCCCTTGGGGTTTTCAACTAAAAGAGGGACATGTGAATAGCACTTTAATAGTGCTTAATGAAAGTGCTTTAATTAAGCACTTTTTATAGGTAAAAAGTGCTTAATTAAACCTTTACATTTTAATTAACCTCCTGTTAGGAGTGATAGTTGGTTATATTTTCCCATGCTTTCTCCTAAAAACACTGCCTGCTTCATCAGTGAGAATGATAATGTGGTTAAGCTATATTTGACAAGAGTTGAACGCCATTAAGTAGCAAAAACACACTGAAATTTGACCAAAGTTCAGTCAAGAGAACATCCAAAATGAGCCCATCCACAGGACAAGGTCAGTGGTTTGGATTATTTGCTATGAAAAAGTCCCGATCCTTAACTTAATATAAACATCTTAATATCAATATCAAATCTTTGTGATTCTTTTCTGAATCGTTAACATATTCGGTGGATTTTTGGTTGCTCTGTGATCAAACTGTTTCTTTTACATTATTTTTCTGTTTTTATCATGAATGATTCAGTCTATGTCTATGCAGTACTTACGGACGCAGGAGATGAGGTCATTGAACCTGTCCTTGGGAAACAAAGGGTTCTCCAAACCCCTGAAGTAGAGCTTCAACACTCCAGCCACAGAATTAATGTCATGGTTGCTTTCCTCGTCAATCAGCGGATCGTTACCTGCATGAGAGGCAGAAGAGAGAAATCCTCAAATACAAGTTTGCGTACTTATCACATGACAGTCGAGTTACCTTCCCGTTGACCTCTCACCTCTTTCAAATGAGTTCTTGATGTCATTGACCTCCACTTGTGATCCTGATACCCGGAATATGCCTTGATGCTGAAGACCTGTTGGGAACAGCAGAGGGATGGAGGTTGCACATAGTCACAGTCTAAGCCTAGCAGATCTGTCCCAAATGCTGAGAAACAAATGTTGACATAAGTTGTAGTATGAACACTTGCTAGTTTTTTATGGCGAAGTGGCAAAGACTGATTTATATGCTGATTTAACAAGATTAAGGACTAATCAATCCATAAATCTTGTAGTTCATATGCCTACTGACCACTGACCACATAGAAATTGTAGTTGATAACAGAGGGATGCTAGTAGCTAGCTTCAAAAGCTATTTATTAGCCATGTGACACCAATGCCTTGGAAGCAATGCCTAGTTGATAGTATTGGATTGCTAGGGACTAGAGTAACATTCTGCCAAAAATGGTGTTAGTTAGGATTGTAGTTCTTAATCTAGAAGTGGTAGCTGCCAATTTGGGCTACTAGGTGCTAGCCTAAGGATCTAATGATGAGTTATGTCAGTTGCATATTCAGTAGGCGGCCAAGAAGGCACTGCCGAATAAACAACACAATCACAATGTCTAGGAACTCTTGGGTTGGACTGTTTAGTGCATTTCATATGCAGACAAAAAGAGCTTTTATTCATGGTCTCTACCTGTTATTTTGCTATTGATTACTTAAAATGTAAAATATATCAGGATATGAATATTTGAGTACATTTTATTTTACATGCCACCAAAAGTACATTGTAGAACACACGATGTTGAGTATGAGGCTAAATTCAGTTTTATAGCATAATTATAAAACAATGATTATCAGCTGCAGCTTGGGAATGATTGAATTAAAATGAAATCACTGTTTTGTACTTGTTCAGCTGTCAGTGTCTGGCTGTGATGCAGTTTTGTTGTTTGCAGAATGAAGAGAGTGAAAGGATGCCAACACGAGAGTTTGACAGTTAAGATTTAGGCGGCTTTATGTGATCAACAAAAAAGGATTTAACTGCCTCCTGCAGCACCGTTCACAATGTCCCTCTTTTAGTTTATAAGTGTAAAACACCTCTGGACAGCCCACAAATACACGCAACAACATTTCTGAACCAAAATTATAGCTGATGGCAAGCAGGAAGAAGGACTTCAGTACATTAAATTCATACCTTCCAGTCGTTTTTTTTGCTGTAACTAGCAAACGCTTCATCCCTTTCTCTAATTTAGCCCTTCATCTGTCAGCATCAGCCACTACAGCATTTATTTCACATTGTTTAAAGCTGAAAAGTGACACTCACCATGTAGGTTGATGTAGCGGATGCAGCTCTCCACAAGCAAGGGTATGGCTTTGGTTGAATCCTACAAAAACGGAATTAGAGTGCAGAGTATTTTTAGTTTTGTTATATTTATAAGATTTTTGAAGATTTTTTTCATGTACATTAATGTATTATGTGTAGACAGGTTGTGGACATGCACCAATCAACAGACATGCAAAAACATTACATTTGTATGGTATATCCCTTGATTATGAGATTAATGGCTCACCATAGCAGAAAAGAGAATTGTGGTGTAAATTGCTTTATTATTGTAAAACTAACATGTTTATGTTTGAAATGTAGTTTTTGCTGTGTTACATTAATACCCTGATATTACTACTAATGTTTTATGATCGATATTGTGTGTGCAGCTTCAATGTCCTGCTATCTTTTAAGCCAACAATTGATCAAAAAGTATGCAATAAAAGTTCAAGGAGTTATCTTTTCTGCCCCGAGTAATGTTTGACATGGTGCAGGTGCAGGGACGGGTAATACTATGGGTAAATGAATCATAAAAATGAGTCATTATTGCTTCTTAAGCTTGCTGTTCTGAGGGCAACATTAATACACTTTCATTGCATTGTAGATGACAACCTTATTTATATTGCTAATATTTCTGCTGATTGGTTACACTCCTCTGGGCTTTCAAATCCAAATTGTAGCCTTTGACAAATTAGCAGATTGCGCTGCTGATATCTTGCACTGACTACTGTTGAGGAGAACATGAACCCCCCCACCTCCCCAAATCCTCAAAAGCCTGGATGAGGTCAAACTTTACCTGGTGCTTGCTGTGGGAGTTCTTCCGCCCACGGCTGAAACACGTACAAAAAGGAGAAAGAACGCAAAAGATTTTTAGAGAGCCAAAGCACAGCAAAGAGATACAACACTTATTATCGATGTGACAGGAAAGCACCTTACCTGGTAGTCAGCAGTTCAGCTTTGTATCCTGCAAGAGAAAAAGGGAGAAGATTTAAAAGTGAAGAAATGCTGATCAGAGTCTGTCTGACAAAGTACAAGACTAAAGAAGACTGAGAGAGACTCTTACCCTCTGCCAACGCTTTCTTTAATATATCGTGTTTAGCCTGAAGTTTGGAAATAAGATTACTTCCCTCCAGGTACTCGCGGAATTTCTGAATATAGGAAATCACATAAATGACAAACACAAAGGCTAAATTATACAAATAAAATAAAGTATGAGTATGCAGAATGCAGTGATTACAATACACACTGTACATTAGTGCAAGTAAAGCAGCTAAAAGCAGAATGAACTTCACATTGAATCACTACATCTAGTAAGCGTTTGTAGAGACACCACCTGAAGATAGATGAATCTGAAATTTACAAAATGTCATAAATGAATAAAAAAAAAGCAGGACAGCATTTTGTGGTGTTATAAAGGAAACTAAGTTAACAAAACACTAATATAGAAATCTAAATTATAACTGTATTCTGCAGCTGTAACAACTTATTTGAAATCTGATTTATCTGACTAAATGTAGTCTGTTTTGGATGTCATGCCACCGTTTACTCTATACTTATTTAATATTTGCTACTTTCAAAACCGACCTTCATCTAATATAAGTAACTTGGGGTGAAAAACCGTGTCAAATCAAAAAAAAAAAAAATCTCTGATCTGCTGGGCTTACAGAGAAGTAGAAGAGCTCGGTCTCCTGCTGGTTCGCCCGTCTCTTGGCCAGACTGGGTTTGTTCAAGTAGCCGTCCGACACGCTGGACTTCACCGACTCGGAAGATGGGCTGTGGGTGAAGCTCTGGGAGACGTCAAAGTCGTCCAGCACCGTCATGTCCTGCAAGGTGCTCAGAGTTGCACCCCAGGTCTTCTTCACCTGAAAGGTGGCAGAAAAGTGGAAAAGCATAGTAAGTATCCATGTTACATGATACTGATCCATGGCCACATGTTACTCTCAATATGAGGTCCAAAGAGATGTCAGTGAAGATAAGGGAGGCCATCATTTGGCTGAAAACCCAGAATAAACCTATCAGTGAAACTTTAGAAGCCACCAAATTAATGTACTGGTCAGCTCAGCATCACAAAAAATTCCTGAAAGACCACAGACGACAACTATAGTGCATCATGACAGAATGATTTTCATTGTTAATCAAAACAACTTCAGAACATTTAACAAAGTCAAAAAACACTTTTGAAGTGGAAGGCAGATCACTGTCAAACTCTACAATCAAAAGACACCTTCATGAATATAAATACAGAAGATTTATGATTTATGACAAGGTGCAAACCACTGGTTACACTCAAGGAAACATCTGAAAGAGCCCGCTCAATTCTGGAATAAAAGGAGAAACTGAACCAAGGTGAATATATATATCAGAAAAGTATGGAAAAGGGGAGAAACAGCTCGTGATCCAAAGCATACCACATCATCTGTCCGACGTGGTGGCGGCATCGTTATGGCATGAGCCTGTATGGCTACCAGTGGAACCAGACTACTAGTGATAGAAGCAGCAGGATGAAACGTGAAGTGTACAGAGCTGTACTCTTTCCTCAGCTTTGGCTAAATGCTGCAAAACTGACCAGACAGAGCTTCTCAGTGCAAATGGATAATGAACCAAAGAAAATGGCAAAAATAAAGAAATGCGATATTCTGCAGTAAAGGTCACGCAGAGCATCTCAAGGGAGCAAACACAGCATTTGGTGATGTCTGCTGGTCTACTGGACTCGAGTTTTTCTACCGATATTAAATGGAAGAACAACTTTGTAAGATCTGAACACATTACTCAGTCTCAGCACAGCTCCATGGATCAATGCATCTGAATTATTGTCATTTTTTTATGGGTGTGGCTTTGTTTTCAAAAATGCCTAAGGAGGTGCAGTGTTTACATTTGCTACATATGCAAAGAGTGTTTATATTTACAGCAAGAGTAATGAGTCTATGAGTGTTTTTAATTTGTGTTTGTGTGGGTTGTAAGCCGCTGAGATGTGCAGATGCAGCTCATTAATCCAGACTCCTTCAGCATTTTTATGCCCTTCGGGGTGAGTTAACAGCTGCCCTCTGTGCACAACAACAGCGAGGACACCGGCAGTCTGCAGCACCACACAGCTATCAGATGGTTCAACTTTATTTTTAGAGGCTACATATGCCACATTATCACCCCATTAAATCTGTATAAATTACCATAACTTTGTGCAAAGTTTTTAACTGTTAGAAAGTTATTAATAATCAATGAGGGGTTTTGGCCACTTTTACCAGAGTCTCTGTGTTGTTTTAATTTCTAAAGCTGGAGCTAAATATCTCAGATGGAAATTTGTGTCCACATTGATGATATTTTTTTAGCAGATCAAAGAAATCTGTTGTTGAACTTACTGGTAGGCACTTTCTTGATCAGCGCTTTAAGAAGGATTAGGGGAAAAAAATAAGAAAAAGAGGTAACTTCCTGTACATGAGATGAGACCATAAAAATAAACACAAAAATGTGAAGTCTTAGTCCAGATACCAATAAGTGCCCCAGGTATTATTGGGCAAATCTGCAGTTTTCTTTTAGCAACGAATGATGGTGTTGACTCAGTCTCAGGTCCACCTTATATGGGCCAAATTTCAGGTGAGTTATGTCATCTTAGCCAACATTAACACTTGCAGTAACACATATCAGGCACAGATCATGACTTTTGAGCCACCTTACAGCTCTAACTGCACCATAACGGTCAAAAATATTCCAGATTAAATTCTTCCATCTGGGATTAAACGTTAGATCAGCCTACTGAGGTTGCTTAGAAAACATGGCTTATAAACCATCTTAGTGTAGTCCTAGTTAGTAACTCAAAATAGAGTTAATGTCAAAATGGTTTTCCTGAGTTTTATGAGGTGTACTTGAGTGTCTGACCTCCTCATTTTCTATCTTCAGAGACGCCAGGCGGGTCTGAAGCTGTGTGAGGCGGAGGCTGAGCTCAGACTGGACCTGCGGCTGGGAGGTGATCTGGGCCACCTGATATGGAGCAAAAAAAGAAGACAATTGGAAAATGGCTGTTCAGAGGTCTAAATTCTCTGTGGTGAACATTTAAATGTAATAATATGTGTCAGACTCTTAGTTTGAAAGGACATAAAGAGGGGCAAACTGACTGTGTCGCCCATGTGGGCCTGGAAGCTGAAGTTCTGTGGGGGGCAGAAGGCAGTGGGGTAGAGATCAAGCAGACGCTGCCTGTCACGGGCAGGGTCCAGGCCCTCCACAGCCCCCTCCAGGACCTCCAGACCAGCCCTCCTGGAGGCTTCAAGGCTCAGTTCAGCTGACAGGTAGGTCCTCAGTGCCCGGCTCAAAGTGGAGTGGTACCCAAGGTCACAGCACTGAAACAAAGATGGAGATTTATTCCCGAGAGGGAAAAGACCACACGTATTTTGTAGAAATTGGTGAACATTTATGAGGAGAATAAGAGTTGCAAGGCAATTGAAGTACTAGAATAGCTTCAAGTGTAATAGATGTAACATTCGCTATGGGAAAAATCTAAAGGAATTTTATTCCTTTTACCAGAGGCCCTAAAAATAATCTCATAAAAGCTCTCTCCATACATTTTAAAATACATACAAATTCCTATTTAGGCTTACAAACCTAACAACCTTTTTAAATGATGAATATAAGGTTTGTGCCACAAGTACACTCTGTAATTTACTCACATCTATGATATCGGGCAGGTCGTGGATATAGTATTTGAACACCGAGGCGTTGGTGGCCTCCAGAGTCAGCAGATACTCATTTCTGGCTTTCACAGTCTTCAGTTTGTTCTCTGAGTACTTTGCCTTCCTCTAGTAAAGAAACAGACATAAAGAAGATTAAATGGTTGGTTTCTGGTTCTCGTGTACCGATTCCCCTCGTTTGTTCTGCAAATGCGATCAACAAGAAGCAAAAAATAGTTTTCATAATTAGTCCTTTCTGCTTTCAAGTCATGTTGAAATCAAAAAGAAGTGGAAAGTATTAGGATTAAATAAAGAAAGTATCTCATTCTAAAATATCTCATGCAGGAACAGGTTACCCATCTGGTTGCTTTGGATGACCCCTGAGAGGAAACACCGTCTCCTTTCTCTATAAAACTGTTACCTTCTCTCTCATTTTCTCCATCTTGCGGGCGGCGTTGCGTCTCTGGTGGCGCTCTTCTATCCGCAGGCCAAACACAGGCTCCACCCCTCCGCCAGTCCCTGACACGCCCTTCACGCGCCCCTCCTGCCGCTCCGCCTCCCGCAGCTTGGTTTCTGCGCTGATCGTCTCCGCGTGGTACATATGATATGTCTTCATCACCTAGGCAACAGCAGCCCATAATAGCCCAATCAAATAGGAAAACAGCAGTGCGCTGCAGCCGGGGTCGACTGTCTTTTTTTATCCCCCCAAGGTTAAAGCGCTGCTCTAATCTGATTTCTAGTGTTTGGACAAGGAGCTTTTAAGGCCAGCGCTCTGACCTGAAGAAAAACCTGATAATTGGCAGCCAACAGGAGGCAGATTTTTTACTTTAAAGCAGGCCAGAAGGATAACGTCAGACAAAAAGCAGAAGAAAAAATGAATGGATGAGAAATGTGAGGCAGAAAGGAAAATTTTTGCATTTATAAAGGAAGCTTTCTGAGCTGTGAAAAGAAGCCACTGACTTTGCTTTGACAGTTCCCTGTTACTACCATTAAAGGAACCTATTCTGCTCATTTCCAGAACCATATTTTAATTCTTGGACTCGAATAGCTCTGCAGGGCGGTGAATCAACTCTGAATCACTGCTCTGCAGCCCCTCATCCTCTGGAACTGCCGTATAGGCTTCTTTCCTCCTTTCAGCCAGCTTTCTCATGATTGGCTCCTCATTGTTAAAAAAACAGTTGGAACAGCAGGTGGGTGGGGCTTTCTGAGACAACCACATTAGGAATATCTGCTCTCTATGACACCACACAAATCCAAGAGTAGAAAAAACCTGGCTGAAACCTATTCTTTTGCTCACTGTGATTAATTGCACATGCACTGACCTCATTATTTGAAACTCTGGCCATGATTTAAATGAACATTTAAAAGACAGGAAAGCAAAAGCATAACAGGTCCTGTTTACCTGTTTAAAGCATTGAAAACAAAAAAGCTTTAGATAGAAAAACTGTAATGCCAGCTAATGTTTGAAAGGTAGCGTCTACTAATGTGTGAAAAACTGCAATGAATCATTTTTGATAACTGGAAATGAGGCTTTTGAAGTGGCCCACTCCTCTTTAAAGAATTGTTTTAATTCAGCCACATGGGAGGGTTCTCCAGCATATTCTGCGTGTTTAAAGTCATGCCGAAGTATCTCAGTCTGATTCCAGACTATGTCTAGGCCACTCCAAAACAGCTTTTTTTTTGCAACCAGAGGTGAACTTGCTACTGTCTTTCGGGTCGTCCAGCTGCAGGACCCAAGTGCTCTTGAGCTTCAGTGCACAAAATAATAGCCTCAGGATTTTGAGGCCGTGAGCGTAATTAATGGTTCTATCAGTCGTCCTGAAGCAGCAAAGCAACCCAGACCATCATACTACCACCATCGCCATGTTTGACTGTTGGTATGATGTTCTTTTGCTGTGTTAATTTTATGTCATCTAAAAATGTATGTGTGACAAATGTGGAAAAAAACCAAACCAATTCAATTATATTTGTATAGCGCAAAATCACAACAACAGTTGCCTTCAGTGCAACCAGGCTCAAAGAGGGGCAACCATCTGCTGTGACTGGTTGGGGGTGATGGCAAATGATTTGGAGTGACTAGGAAATCAGGAAGGGGGTAAATACTTTTTCACAGTGCTGTAGATGCAGAGGTGGGAGGGGCAGTTAGTGAGCCAACAAAAGACTCTCAGACACTTGCTGTTAGTGTATTTAATGTGTCATTTTTGTGCATGATTATTGTGCAACCCATTATTGAGGAATGACCCCAACACCAGCTACAACAGCTTTAAAAACCTGATTGAAATTTTACAAGAAACCTTCCTTGGTCTTGTTTTTTACTGCTTTATTACCTGATTAACTGTAGATGAATGAAATGTTTAGAAGTACATTATTTTCTTGTTGCATTTGTAGACCACATAAAAATGTGTTTAACACTATAACACAATAAAAAACTTGTGTCTTAAAGCCTTGGAAGAATAACTTTTGTTCCACTTACGGTGTAAAGCTCATTCAGAAGCTTCATGAGGTCTTCCTGAAGCTGGAAGAGGATCTCCTTACTCTAAAGCACACAAATGATAAGAGAAACCTGTTACCAGCATATTCTCAAATAAAGGCATTCACAGTGGGTGAACAGATTCATGCACCATTTTAGAATTGTCTCTTCATACAATGACACTTACAGGAAACAATCCTCTAACAACTCACATCTTTTTGACCTGAATGATCACAACATTAACAAGCATAAGAAGGGCCCTGCCTACGTTTGAACCCGGGACCCTTTTGCTGTACTAAGTGCCAAGCCAGACGCATTATAGGTCGTTTGGATTTTTCTCTGTGTGAAAAGAAACCAAACCACAAGGAGAAAGCTCATCAACCGATTTGGAGCAGAGTAAACAAACTTAATGCATTTTAACTCCTACACCCAGAAAAAAACAAATCCTCCAGACTTTGAGGTGATAATTCTCCATTCATCCACTTCACACTCAAATACAAGCAGAGGTCACAACTGAGAGGTGATCCTGAGGCCACCAAAATGGAAAATTTTTAACAGAATCTATGTTTTATTTTATAAGTAGTTTCTCTGAACTCCTTTATAACTTTGCTAAATAAAGTACTGTATAAATTTATTATTATATTTTATAAATAGCCTAGTTTTGACTGCTGTAATTATTAATGCTTAAATCACTTAATTTTTAAGGTAAAACATTTAAAAATTCACTTTTCCTGTGATACAGCTACTTTTTATAGTCAGAGAACAGCTGCCCAATCACATTGTCATTTTATAAATTGTTAATATAAACTACGGATTATAGAAGTGGCTCTAAGCACAAGTACCTCAGTACTGTGCTCGAGTACAGCACTAAAGTACCATTAATGTATTTTTACAGTGCTGGAAACCATCCGTGTGTGCAGACCTCTGGGGTTGTTATTTTTTCATACGGCTTCTTTAAGTCGCAGAGTTGATTTTAATGAAAAGTAAAGTCAGTATTCCCCTGAGCTCTGCTGGAGTTTGGCAAATTAAACACATACACACACACTGGTGTACTTTTACCCGCCTCCAACTTTAGCTCGCCGTGTTCATTATTAATCTCGCTTCCGGCTCGTCTTTTATTCATGCTAACTAAAGTGCAGCTACTGCCAGCAGCTATAAACAGCAAGACCTCCATCACATCGCCGCGTCCTCTCAGAAACTCTCCTCTGAAGAGGAAGAGACAGACGGCTGAGTGGCCATGACAACACCGACAGCCCTGTGGCCATGGCGACAAGCTCAACTGATCTTTTCTCAGCGGGCGCTATGGGAACGGGATTCATCCATCCTGGGATTCCTCAGTCATTTAGCATAATGTAATATTAATGCTGCCACATAGCTCCTTCCCAAACTGCTCGGCTGTTTAATGCATGAGACAGAAATCCAGTCTGAGAGCAGGCAGCGGAGCGCGGCTTGTTTCATTTATGAATTCATTTGTTTGTGTGTGGTCAGATTCATTTATATATCTCCTGCTGTTCAGCCTGCCTGATGGATAACCACTGTTTCTGTGCAGGGGCACACACACAGTTGAGGGAGAGGCGCTCAGATCCTTTGCTTAAAGCAGCTGCTAATCAATATTCTGATGGCAATAAAGTATGAGCTGACGTGATGAACTTAATGAGAATCAACAGCTGAGCTGAGTTTTAGCTTGTTTTTTTGCTCTCAGACTCTGAGTTTGCTGTTTTACTTCTATTTTTAATTCTGATAGTGTCTTAAAAACGTTCCTAAAGGCAACTAGAGTGCATCAGTTTGAAAGTTGCTTAAAATTTTGACTGAAAAGTCCTCTTTTTTTGGACAACGTTTGAGTGAGATGGAGACAGGTAGATAGGCAAGGAGATAGTGAAAGTACCGGGGTCAAACGTTCAAAGTAACTGACATTGCACAAGGCGGGTGAAGGAGAGAGTGCAGGCAGGGTGGAGTGGGTGGAGACAAGTGTCGACAGAGGGAAAAGCAGCGAGAATGAAAGGTTTACAAGATGGCAGTGAGACCTGCTGTGATGTTGGGTTTGAAGACGATGGACTGACAAAAAGACAGGAGGCTGAAGATGATGAAGACATTAAAATCTTCAATGGGAGTGAGAATGCAAAAATAAATGTGAAGATTTGAGTGGTTTCATCGGAATAATGTAACCACACAAGTCAGCACAACACTAACTTTTGTAGACTTTTCTGATTTGTTTTTGATACTAACTCAAAAAAACCCAACTGCTTATTGATCTAATGGTACTTCTTTAACTTTAGCTTAGAAGAATCCACTGTGGTGCTATTGTCACATACTGAATAAAAGTTGTGTAACAATAATGCTATGTCATAAAGACAGGAAATCGACTTTTCTGGTGCAGCAACAAACCTCATTCTGTCGTATGTAAAAAATATTCCTGCACTGATTTTCATTATTCTTAGATAAATAAGGATTTTAGGACATATCAACAGAAATATAATTATGAGACCAGGCTACATTAATTTAATTGACAAAGTAAACAAAATTAGTCTAAAGATGCTCCCGAGCAAATACATACAAAGCATTAAAAATAAAGACCTCTGTTCTTTTAGAAGTGGAGAAACATTTACTAACAGACTAACACATGAAGGATATTTTGTTTGCATAAATATCAAAGTATATAGTGATGATAATCTTGCTCACCCTCTTCAGCAGGCGGGCTGAGTCCTCGCTAATGTGTGTGAGGCGGGTGATGACGTTGTTCAGGTAGAGGTCACTGAGGGTGGCATGGTCCTTACTCTCCCTCCTCACCTGGAAAACAGAGATTGGTATGAAAGAATGTAATAGTAATGATAACAATAATAATTAATAACAACAGTAGCAATAATAATTTACTAATAATAATAATCCTTGGGGAATTATACAAGATTGTGAACTATTCTATTCAGTGCAAAACTGTAGGTAAAAAGACTGAAAAAGAATAAGTGTATTTAAAAATAAATAAATAAATGTGGTTTTAAAAATTATACAATGCATAAAAGCATTAAGGGCAGACACACATCTTTAGGACATGACTGGACTTAACGGAACGCCATTCCCTATAGAACAGCTATTGCACTCCTTTATTTACAGCAGAGTTCTGATGGTCCGCGGGGAAGAAGCTGTTTTTAGGTCCGGCTCTTTATGTATCTGTACTGTCTGGTCCGCCTGGAGGCAGGTTGAACAAGTGCAGTCCAGGGCGGGAAAGGTTTTGCATTATTTTCTTTGCCCTGCTGAGATACAGAGAGCTGGAGATGTCCTCTAGAAAGGGCAGCGGGCAGCTGATGCTTCTCTGGGTGGTGCTGATAAACCTCTGCTGTTACCACACTGTGATGCAGTACACTCTCAAAGTGGAGCGTTGGAAGGCCACCAACAAAGTTTCTCCCTCTGTGTAGTTCCTTCAGAGCATTCTCAGTAAACCTGGTCTCTGATGGGATTACTGCTGATTCTCCACGATGTTGGTTCCCATGAATTTGAGTAAACCCTCCTGACGTAGAAGAGGGCTAGCAACACCCAGATAGCTCTGTATGCTGACTCACCTCCACATATGAATCAAACTTTGTCGGAGTTTTCATCCTGTTAAAAAGGAGTTTTTCCTCCCCACTGTTTCCAAGTGCTTGCTCAAACAGGACTGCCTGATTGTTGAGGTTTCTCTCTATTATTTAAGTTCTTTACAATAGTCTCTTGAGGCAACTGTTGTTGTGATTTGGTGTTATAAAAATATAATTGAACTAAATTAAATATGTGTACAAGGCGTACAGGAGAGGACTCAGCACACAGCTCTGAGGAGAGCCAGTGCTAAGTGTGATGGTGGCCAGCATTCACCGTTTGTGGATGGTTGGTAAGGAAGTCTTTAATCCCAGTACAGATGGGGGCGAGGGGTCTAGGTCACATATTTTACCAACCAGTATATACGAGACGATTGTGGTGAAGGTGGAAGAGCATTCCAGGATAATTTCCTGGGTATTCAAAATGGCTCAATAAAATCTGGAGGGCTGTTTGGTGTATGAGCTCACTCGTGCAGGTCAAAGTTAAGAGGGAGGCAGTTTTTGATGTATTGAGATACAAGTCTCTCCAGACATTTCATGACTACTGATATAAGTGCTATTGGTCTGTACTCATTTAGACTGTTGATGGCTTGTCTCTCTGGGACAGGAATTGGGAACGTGTCAAGGAAAGATTGAAAGGATTGAATAAAACCTCTAATAGTTGGTGAGCACAAGCTTCAGCTACTTTGCTAAGTACAAGATCGAATGCAACAGCTTTTCTTACATTTAACAGCACATGCCTCATTGTATATTCATAGCTCATAGATTTCAAAAAGACTTTGAGGAGATTCACAAAACCATAAACTAACCTGATTTAACAGCAAATACCAACAGTTGACTGGTGAGAGCAGATTCTGGTCCTTTCTGGAAGAGGGAAAGTGAGAGATGCCTTAAACATAGCAAAAACTAATTTATACAACTTATATGTGGATTATTAAAACTGTGTGGAGAGGATCATTTAGATAAAAGATAAATGCATTTGAGTTCAAGCCCTTAATATCCACTGTTGGCCTTTTCTTTTCCCTTAAGTAGCTATCCTATCCTTCATTGACAGATAGTAAAGGTTTGAACAAACTCCCTGGTAAACACATATATTAGGTCAGTGGTTCCCAAACTTTTTTTGCTGGGCCCACCTTTGTTTTACAAGAAAAATGTTTGCGCCCCCCCACCACCCACACAAACACATCCTCCAACCACACACATCCATATTTTGTTTTCAAACTCCATTGCGGTTTATTTCACACCTCAAACATTTAGTAAACAATTAAGAAAATACAAGTAAAGTGCAATAAATTACAGGTAGTAATAAAAATAATCTCCAAACTCTTTTACGCTACGTCCACACTTAATCGGGTATTTTTGAAAACGCAGCTGTTTCGTCCACACGTAAACGGCGTTTCGAATCACCAAAAACTGAGATTTTTTTTAAAACGCCATTTTTTGCGTTTACGTGTGGACGAGGAATACAGAGTTCGTCACGCAACGTCAAAGGTATGTGCCTTTTTTCACGTCACGCTGTGCGCCACATTATTGTTTACACTACATGAATTTCTACAATGGCAGATAGAGACAAAATACTGTTAACCTGACTATCTGCAGGTTTTACACGCTTAAATATACACACACAGTTACTGTCCCTCCATTTACAAAGGCAGAGGCGTCACAGTGTAATTATTTTACATGTAGTTGTTTTTTTCCTGTGTAATAATATTCAACATTGCTATCAATACATTTCTCAAAAAATGCCTCTCTGTGCAAAATGGGTTCAAAAGCATAAACAACTTTGGGATACTGTTTGTCCGTGATTTGAACCGGGGGAACAAATCGTGGCAGGATCAGCCTGATATTATTTGCATCCCACTGTAACTTTACTGTATAAAGAGCTAACATCTCCAAAATGTCAGGAGTAGTTTGTTATTACAACAAGTGTTTGTGAACTAAAAATCAAGAATGTGGGATACTGTTTGTCTGTGATTTGAAGAGCCCAGCGCTGCTCCCGACGCAAGGGAAACCAATTCTGTCGCAGAGACCTACACACTTTGAGAACCTCTGTATTAGGTAATACTGAGAAATGCTTTAAGCTTTTAAATAAATAATGATTTACATTATTTACACCAATCTGTTTCTGATGTGAAATAAAAATTTATTTAAAAATTTAAGTGAAATAAAAGTTTTTAAAGATATTTTGTGCTTCATTTTATGTCATTTTCTATCAACATTCAGCCTGTATGTGAATGCAAAATTCAGAATCGTATTTTATTTTTATTTATATCATTACATCATTACTTTATTCACGACCTAAATGTATAACGTCCAAATACCCACGGCCGATGTATCTTATAGGATATATAACATTTTTTAAAGAACAGAGAGCAGTAACTAAAAAAAATACCAAGGCCCTTTTCTTTTTCTTTTTTAAATGGGGGCACGTGAGGACTAAAAATAAACAAATATCAAGAAAATAGGCAAAGAAAAGAAAAAATTATAAACCTATAACCAACAAATATTAAATATCTTAATATTGGAAAAGTTTTATTAAATTTGTTGTATTAAAATACATTTAAAGTAGCTCAAGTAAACATACTTATTAGGCTGAGTGGAACTTTTCAGAATCATGTATATTCAATTATTTTATCATTGTAGCCATTAATTATTTTACTTATTTATATATCACTGGGAGGTTTTATATATATATTGAAGCAATTTATCTGCAAAATAATAACTTACTATGTGGTCAATCTTATTCTGGAGGGGCAAGAGCTTTAGCTACAATGCTAATAGAGGCTATCAAGCTTTTTAAAAAGCCTACTTAAAACACTTTTCTCCATAGTTTTAAATGTTTCTTATTGATGTGACATGCTATAAGGGATTATCAAAATGAATTAAAATGAAAATGAATAAACTTGACTAATATCTTTGGTTCAAAGAAACATGGGAAAGTAAGTAAGTAAATTAGCTTAAGCTTAGGCTAACAGCTAGCGATAACCAACTCCGTTTTAAAGCTCCAAAAGTCATAAAAAATGAATATTTATGGTAAAGTAAATCCCTGATATGTCCCCTTTCAGTAAATACATTTTTGTGTGTTTCAGCAACTGCAATTTAATCATATCTAATCTTTGTTTTTACTAAAAGATAAAAAAAACATATCACTTTTAAATAAGAATCAATTTAATCTATTTAATACACAAATATGTGCCCCCCGAAACATGCAAACATGCATGCGTACTCAGGTCAGCAGGCCTACTTGTATTGCTGATGATCTTTCGTGCTGCGTGTTTTGGCCATGAACCTCTCGGCAAGCTTCTCCAGGTTTCTCGAATACTCTGTTTCGATTTCGGCCTTCTTCCTGAAGAAATCCTGGAGGTCCTGAAGCAGCTGGACCCGCATCTCTGTCTGCTGCTCCAGACAGCGCTGCTGCTCCACCAGCTGGGTCCGCACATCTGCACACGGATAATTTAAAAAAACAACAAAGATACTTAACAAATATTTGTTTTCGCAATTGTTTCTGTCCGCTGGTAAGTTAGACCTAGTTGTGTGGAAAATTCATAAATATATATTAATATTACATACACCTATACACACCAAAATGACGCTTGAGACTTGGCGACTCTTCCAGAGTTTTACAGATTAAAAAGAAATCTGTAGGACCACCTTCTTTTTCTCAAAATTAAAAACATATCAGGGTGATGCTGATGTGATGCAGTTGTTACATCATGTTGTTTCTGTTGACTGACTTTATATAAATAAAAATATAATAAATATAAATACATATGTGAGCAAAGGTCTGACTCTTCACATCCTTCACATTTAAAATAATCAGACATTCAAAGACCGGAACTGTTGATGCTGAGATAAAGCAGCATTTATTTTAAATAATAAACACATGCAGTGTCCAGGAATTAAGCTAAACTGAAAATAAGGGCTGCAGTGATTAACTGGAGATTGCCTGAACTCCAGAGCAGTGTCTGCAGAGACCTAGACGTGAGATCAAAGATTGCATCATCCTGCTCCAACCACATCCTCCATGTAGTATCACCTGCCTTAACCTGCTCTGCACACTGATTCAAGCCACTGGATGGGGCAGACTCAAACAAAGGAGTATCACACTGAAACCATCATATATTTTACATAAATTTATCTTGCACCATGTCACTCCTGATTCAGAGTTTAATATGCAGATTATATTCTGTACTTACTGTAGTAAATGCTTTAAAATGGTTTCAGTGATGGTAAATTTGATCACAGATTTGTCAGTCTACCAGCCACATATGTCACTGAACTAGAAGTGATATACTACTGAGCCCACTTTGACCTTGGGACAGATACAAGCAGTCTGAACACAACTTCAAAAGAGAAAATCGTGATCCCAGGAGGACATGAGCACACCAAGACGTGAACAGGTCAGATTTAAATAGACAGGCACTGGGTAGCAGCTGCTAATCAGTTAATTTGGTCAACAGAGAGGCAACCACTGAGAGACAACTCATTTTTTTTTTTATCCCTTTCATCCAAGAGAATGATTTAAAAGTGTACAATGCACTTGCCCTTTTGTTGTAAGCTCAGCCGCTGATAACCAGGCATCCCTGGCTTATTTCAGCTTGGATTTCCAGGACATTGCTTGTAGTTGTGGTTGTCCTCAATATCATTCAGCTGCCTCTGCAACAGTTCTTTCAGCACTGTCTACTGAACGCTCTCTTTAAAAGTGGGACTCACTGGAGAGGCAGCTCGTTATTGCTTTATTGTTTATTTGCCACAAAGTGGGCCTGTATTTGCAGAGGAACGCCTTTTATATGTTATTAATGTTATTAAGAGAACACAGATTTTTCCTGCAGTGAAAGAACAAAGTCTATCGCTTAGTGCACAAGTGTATTTAAAACAAATCGTTAAACTAATCGAGGCGACCGCTACAGTCAAGATAATGAGTTTAATTGATAGGTCTGGTTCTGGTTTAACATGCTAAACTGCAGTATTGATTAACTTTTAATTAACATTGCTTAATTTTCCTCTTCTTCCTCATCTTCACTCGCTTTGTCTGTTCTACCTCATGCAACTGCTGATGAAGATGATGACCATTTTTCCTCTGAGGAGTCACCTTGGACGACATCCTGTGACCGCATTAAAATCACTATACCTAAAAACCCACATTGCAAGCACACACAAACACAAACACAAACACACACACAAACACACACTTTGAGTCCTACAGCGTGGTAAAGCCTGGCTGCATGCTTCACTGCTCGTGCCATTTCAGAGCTCGATCAATCTGCAGCAGCAGGAAGAGCGAGCACAGAATACACAGTAACTCCACCTGTCTCTCTCACACACACAAAACACACACACCAATCCCAGGGCTCTCTATCCACTCCAATACCTGTTGTCTTGGCAACCACACACTGTGTGTGAACCATGTGATGAGGAAGGTGAAGACAAGAGCTTGCATCTGCCGCATCGACACACACACACACACACACACACACACACACACACACACAGGGGTGGAGAGTTTTATAGACTGACCAGTTTTCTGTGGAAATCCATAAAAACATGTGTGGCAAGCAGTGTGTGTGTGTGTGTGTGAGTGTGTGTATTGAATCTGGCATTGTTTGATGTTGTTTGCTTACTAATTTAAAATGGCTGCCATCTCACGCTGCTCTCACACATTGTGTTGAGCCGCAACAATTTCATATGAATGAATGTCTGCTCCACTGCTCCGAAGCTGCTTCACATCTTACCCCGCCCGGGCAGGGGGGAGAACACTCTGTTCTGATTGGCCCGACGGATCAGCGGTTTAATTACTTCTTGAAGTTGGTGTCGATGCCACGTTCACTATGTATCCTTTAAACGCTAATTATGAGCAGCCGAGTGGAGAAGAAAGGTCTCCAATGTGCTATTCCGGGTCTAAGACATCGGAAGTGTGGCGACGGGGAAACAAGCTGCCACTGAAAACCATAAATGGTTTCATAATAATAACAACATATTAGATTCTGGTCTGTTATGTGGATTCATGTCTGGCTGCAGAAGGGGGCCACAATTTCCTGCTTCCAGATGATTTTATCCAGCACTGGATTTCAGAATTTCACTTTCATGGAGGTTTTTTCAAATGGAATTCCAGGATTTCTGGGCAATGAGGGGAGACCCAGGAAGTGTTGGAGGGATTACACATCTATCCTGGACTGGAAACAGGAAGAAGCAGATGTGGATTATGCTGAAGAGAATATTTTAGGAAGCCTGCTGCCATTGTAACTTTGGATATGTGGAAGATCATATGATGCTAAGACTCATATCAGATTATCTATGCTAATCTTTGGTTCCTGGTTCAAAAATAATGTCTATTTTGTTCCATCATGTCACGTTTCTTCACAAGTGGCAATTCTAAACACGGGCCAGATTTCACTAGCTGGGACCACATTCTCATTTTAGGTTTGACAGCATTTCTAGTAGGTGATGGCAGATGGCTTGAATAGAGACTGAGGTTTGAGGGAGGCCTCAGAGGGGACTGGCAGTGTCTCCCAGGCCAGACAGATCCCCAGAGAGGGCATCCCCTAGAACAGGGGTGTCCAGCTCCAGTCCTCGAGAGCTACTGTCCAGCAGCTTTTAAATGCATCTTTGTTCCGACACACCTGAATCAAATGAATGGCTTGTTACCAGGCCTTGTTGCCAAACTTGATGGCATGCTGAAGAGGTGATCCAATCATTTGACTCGGCTGTGTTGACAGTAGTTCTCGAGGACTGGAGTTGGACACCCCTGCACTAGAAGCAGTAATGCTTGTATGTTACAAAGGTTGAAGACTGTTCCAAAAAATATGACTGGCAGGCAGGTTTGCAATGATAAGCAACCCGTGACCTTGATGGGGTGGTCAGGGATTCCATTGAGTGGCGCATGTGCTGGAAAAATTTGGAAGGAATTGCAGGAGAAGAGAGCAGAAGAAATTCTGGACGATGACAGACATTGATAGAGGAATAGCGATGCGACTCAACTCTTAACAGAAACTCTGCTGCTGGGCGCATGCTGGGATTTTTGATGCTCCAGGTAATGACCCAACGGCTTGTGAAGAAGTGTGTTTGTCTTGAAGTAGTTGTCCTGAATGACTGTGTCCAGGAGAGAGGATTTAAGTGATGCTAGTGAAAGCATTTGAGAAGTGAAGGTATGCCTTGAGGAAAAATGCGCACTGTGGAGTCCGGATCTCCTAGAAAAGAGGCGCAGCTTTTATTTGTGTGAGAAAGCAAGAAAATAGGGAGCAACGGCAGAGAAACTGACAATGCAGTGCCAAGAAAAGTTTGCTGCTGTTTACTGGAAAGGAGGGATAGTGGAGCAACAAACTGGCAACCCGGTGCCAGTTTGCAAATGATGGACAGATGGCAGAGAAAGAGAAAGTTTGCCCCTCTCTCTTTTAGGACATGTTGTAACTGGGCTACTGTCCAGCCTGAAACCTTAATAGAAGGATATTTTCGAGTTTGTCCTCTTTCAATTGAGTTTCGAGTTTGAGATTTGAATCTGCCAAAGGAAGCGACTGAGATACTTGGGTCGAGGCTTAGAAAAACCTCTTGGCTTCAGGGACCAAATTTTCTTTTCACAGACAGCATGAGAGGGATATTCTTTCATTCTTTTAAATGGATTTCCAGTTAAATGAAACCTTTGAAAATATACAACTATGCGGAGAAAAAAAGGGCAGTGTTAGTAGTTATTGTTTATTATGCTATAATAAACAATAACAACCAGTTTGAAATTTACCATTTTTGAAGCCTCAAACTTCATCATCCTTTTGAAAGCAGATGTGACAAACAAGGAGAAACCCAGCGACACTGCACGTTCACACAGCAGCAACTTGTTAATCATACGCCTGCCCCACCATATGATTAACAAGTCGCTACCATATGAGTCACACCGTATGAGTCATACACCGCTTTACTCCATAAATGGGACCACACTTTACAAAAGGAGCATCATTTTGTGTTCAGTAAGACTTGAAACTAGACAGCGCCAGTGTGTTTGATTTTTAAAGGATAGGACTTTATTTAGAGGTAAATGTAAGCTGATGCAGTAATTCATTTATAACTGTTTTGTGCAGTCGTACATTGAAATTAGAACATACGACCATACAACCACATTTCTATCCACTGATTCATAGTAGTAATTATTAATGCAACGACTGAAATATATAATTAGAAAAAAGGGGTTTTGTGAGTTTCAAGTGGTATATATAGCCTTTTGAAATCAGATGATTCTTAGTGACAGTTTTATAAATACAAAGCCAGATTTGATTTAAGAGCTCACAAACAGAGGGACCTTCACAATGTGATAATAAAATATTAAAATAATGTTATCCAACATCCAACTTTGAAAATTTTAAATACTGCAATATTCAATTTATCCAACAATATTAAACTTTCATTATTTACCAGTTCGGGTACAGTACAAAGTAGGAAATGTTTATAACAT